TCATTCCTGGCTGACCTGCCTAAAAACATAACACTTTAATCTAGACAAACCTGATAATTCATTTGGAAGTATTACACAGTTTCAGTTGTTCATGGATCACTCATAATCATGACTACCCAAAACATTCATTTGGTAATACACGGCGTTTTCTGGTAAATACGGTCTCAATAATTTCATTAACATTCGAAAAAGGCTTCACTGCAGATGAGCTATTGAATTCTTCTCCTTCTTGCTCTTTTTTTTTGTCATTTCCCTCTCCATATATATATATATATATATATTTTTTTTTTTAAAATAACCAATTTATAACCGACCCGCGTTGTTATCTTGCTTCACAGAATGCCAAAGTAATAAACACGATTTGTCTGTAAATTGAACATTTATCAGGAGAAGCTAATATCCCAAAAATAAATACACAGGGGAGTGGCAACTATAAATGCTTGCACATCACACAAAGGATACTACAACACACTAAAATTTATAAACACATAAATCGATACAGATCACAAACTTTGAGAAAACCAGAGAAGGTGATTGGGCAACGACAAATAAGTAAAGTTATTGTTCTATGGAGTTTTGTATATAGTTCTACTTGATGTAATTTTGAGTTTTTTTAGCATACCTGATGTGTCCACTAGCAAAGGTGTCAGTAAGAAAGTGACAAGCAAACGCCTCCATGGCATATGCTTCATGGAGAAGTTTGGTCTTCTCGTCTTCTGTGTTTGCTTGACTCGCTTCTCTTGCTTTCCCCAAGGCCAACTGATGACCAATCAGATAAGCGTTTCTGGCGTGTGGTAGAAAATGGTCATGGTTATTCATAGCCAACTTGAGCATTCGCCCTGGTTTCACGGGGACACCACCGATCCATATACCACCAGTGATCTCATCTTGTTTTCTGAAATCCGTGTCCTTATCTGCAATAGCTATGAGCATGCGCAGCTCTTCTACTTCATCGTCAGGTGCACGCGCCATTGTGTTGAAGGCAGCCATGAAGCGCTTACGACGGCCAACGTCTTCTTCGTCAAATGGATCGATGATGGGTGCTTTCGGTTTACCATAAAAATCTCCCGCCAGGGCTACAATGTGCTCAAATTTGATTTTAATCCCATTTGGAAGGATAAGTTGCCTGTCTTCTTCTTTCTCGGGTTGGATTTGCTCTCCGATGTCTACGTGCTCAGGCGTCACAAATAACTCAGATTCTAATGCCAATTCTGTCGTGTCCAGCGTGAGGTTCAGCATATTGGCTACAGGTCTTCCATCTTGTTCGTCTTTTAATTCCCTAGAGATGTGTTTAAAAGGCGTATCAGGATTCCAGATTTTTGCGATAGCCCTTGATAATCTTTATATTTCTCTTGTAATATAGTTTAAGTTGAACTATCCCGCTCCTGTCTGTTTCTTAGCAAAGATGCCCATAATCGAGCTGTCATAGAAATGATTTTGAGGAGACAGTCAGTGACCACGATCTAAGCAGTGAAATGGCTATGAAAAGGGAAAAATTTTTTAAGACCCCGTGGCGTATTTTTTAGAACTGTTACGCATCCATTACAATGAATATCAAAGCTGTTTTTGGACTTGCTCTCCGATGTCTACGTGCTCAGGCGTCTCAAAGAACATAGAACCTAATGCTATATCCATCGTGTCCAGCGCGTGGTTCTGCGCGTATTAATTACAGGTCTTCCATCTTGTTCATCATTCAATTCCCTAGATATGTGTTAAAAAGGCGAATGATGATTCCAGACTTTTGCGATAGTCCTTGATTATCATTTTACATGGCAGATACACAGTAAGCTGGGTCTAAAAAGTCATCTATCAGATAACTTAGAAGCTCTATAAAAGTAACGGTTAAGAGAAAAATCACAGTGTTAAAAGTTCGTAGGCGGTATAGTGTATCACTTAGATGAAGGTGGAGAGAGTAACCGATGCACAATAACCTATGTACACTTGGGCCCTCAACAATAACAAGAATCGATTGAGGAAATCAAGCGCAGTGATTAAAGAATGTTTAGGCCGCTGAGATGAATTGTTTATTGATGAAGGTAATCTTTCCTGCAATAAAGCAGAAACGCGTCAACTATGACTATCATGTTCCCATCAATAGCATGAAGCTAACGTCAAAAAATGTCTCTTTCTATCCGCGGTTAAGGGCCTGTTTACATGGAGGTGGGGGACCGCAGGTAGGTGAGGTAGCCCGCCTAGGTGGGGTAACCTGCCTGTACATATAATTTCTTATTTTATTTTGATCACGTTTACATGATAAATGGGGTGACCCGCCCAGGCGGGTTGCCCGGTCTGGCAGGTAGGGTAACCCTGTCAGCCGGGGTGACAATTTACCATGTAAACGTTTCAAGGTGGGGTAACCCGCCTAGCCGGGTTCGCGTTCATGGCAAAAAGGT